CGGTAAACAATCAAGGTAAATCCTGGATGAAGAAAAAAAAAAAAAAAAAAAAAAAAAAAAAAATGAAAAAAGATGTTGACCGACGCAGGGGTCGAACCTGCAATCTCTTGATTCGTAGTCAAGCGCCTTGCCATTGGGCCAGCCGGCCTTGTTGAGATATGTGTTTTTAATTATGATATAGATTCCGAGTGAATATTTTTAGCGTATCTAGCGTATGCTTCATTATAGTACAGTCCTTTACTTCAGGAAGGTAGATAGTAAGGTACAAGGGAATCAATCAATCAATCATCCAAGTGAGCATCAGTGAAAAGAAAATGAAAGAAAAAAAGGAAAGGATATATTGAAAGAAGGCTCGACATCAGTAAGAAAAAAGGAAAGTAAAAAGAAAAAAAGAATGCAAACATCATGTCATGTCGTTAAATCCACCTCCACCCGCTTCTTCTCCGAGAAAAGCTCCTGTTCCCGAAAAATCTCGCCTTCAACCGTGAGAACCGGGATCGGATGAGGCAGCCCACGACGCCGAGTGAAACGCCTCCGCACAGACAGGCAAATCCGTTCGATGACCAACGCAGCCAGACAAGCCAGAATAGCACAGAACACGGCGAGCAGCGCCTGCAGCAGGACGGGGTGCGGGATGCGGGCGAAGTGTTCGTAAAGTACGTTGCTGCTGCGCGGGTATTCATCGACCGCTTCCGTGGCGAGTTTATCGGAAGGGTTGTCGGACGTCTTGAAGTACATCTTGGAGAGGATGTCCGCGAGGGACATGGGGGCTTTTTTCGGGGCGGGAAAGGCGATCTTGGTGTTCCTGTCATGCTGGATGTCGTTGACGACGAGGCCGTTGGTGGCGGTTTGCAGGAGAACGATCCTGACCAGATCGTCGGTGGCGGGGCGGCCGTGGAGGTCGAGGAAGCTCATCTTGAGGTGGAAGATGTCGCCGAGGGGGGCGCCTGGTCGGGGTGAGACGGGGTGAGCCTCGAGGGCATAGGCGACTTGGACGTCTTTGTGTTGGAAGTAGCGGTGGTCGGCTCCTTGGTACTGGGTGGCGTGGAATTGCATGGGGATGGGAGGGGGGAAGATGGGTTGGTCGTTTGCAAAGAGGGTGTCGTCGTGGGTGGTGAATTTGAGGGTCTGTGAATAGGTAGGTATGGTTAGTTGGTGGTTTTCTTGACGGGTTTGGACGATGGGGTGTATACCAAGTATGAAGTGGATGTCTGATCTGATCGACTGCAGCCGCGATCTGCAAAGGCGCATTCTGCGCAGGGCAGCATGATCTCATGCTTGCGGGTTGATATTTGAGCGCCGTTGCTTCCAGGGCCCAGGTATGGCAGTGCTGCTGCTGCCGCGCAGCTGCTCAGGTAGAGAGCGCATGTTAGGGAGATGACGCGCATTACGACGATGGTTGAATCAGTGAATCCCAACTTGGGAGCTGAACGGGGGAGAATGAGCTGGATATATCGCCATGGTGAGACCTGGGCGCCCTATCGGTCGGGCTTGTCCAAGAAATTAACAACGCTAAGGAATCAGGCGGGGCGAAGGATGGTGGATGCTAACGAGGAAATAGTAAGTATAAATATCTTGGTCCATGCCAAGTTGAGCTAGGTCTCTACTAGGATGGCCTGCACAGCCCTCATGGGGGCCAGTTAGCTTGATCGCCATAGGCGCCAGCTACCTTCAGCCCCAGTACGAACTCTAGGTTAATTGAAACTGAAGAGAATCGCGGCTCTTTCCGCACGGGATACGAGAAGAAGTCCAATCCAGCCCCCCCCCCCCCGTGAAATTCCTCGTTGGGCATGCGCAGTCCCACCGTCTAGCCATCCGTGCACTAACAAGCTGTCCGGTTGATTAACCGGTCAGCCTTGCGGGTTTCCTAACCGGTCTGGGTTCATGCTCCAGGCTTTAGTGTCTAGTCTCCCGAGTCGTCTATCATGGACATCATGGACATCACGGATACCACGGACATCACCAAAGCGCATCGTTCGGCTAACAGACAGGACCGATCCATGCTCGTCGTTCTAAATTATCCGTGTGATAGCTGACCACAAGTCCTCCTCACACCCCCAGTTTATGCAGAAGCTGCAGAATAAAATCTCCCCTCGCTCGACGGGGCACTGCGTGGGGGCCGCAGCTAAGCGTATCGAGGCTAGTTGGAGGCGTGTCTTGGCCACTCCGGGCTAGTTTGACTGCGGCTGTCGGTGGTTGAATTGAGTCCGGAATTGGGCCGATCGGTGGTATTATACTCAATGCGAATCCTGTTTTGGGTCGGATGACACTTGGTAAATGAATGAGTCTTGTGCGGAGGGAAGTTTATGCCGTGGACGGGCGTCGGGATATATATATGGCCGTGAGGATGAGACACATGACCTAGCAAATTGTAAAGTGTCTTGGTATTAACTATGTTAAGGGCAAAGGAATGGAGTAATCGATCACAATAAGCAAATTGAAAGTTTAAATAGAAAGAAATCAATATACACTAGAAATTCGTGGTACCATTGGCTGTGAATGATGGTGGTTGTTGACAGCCTCATGATACAAGGTTAGTTGATAAAACATTAGAAAATGGCATCTTACAACAACAGCTTCCATGGTCTAGCGGTTATGACATGAGTCTCATATCAAGCATATGACGTCGAAGGTTAACTTCGATGAGCAATCTCAGGGTCGTGGGTTCGATCCCCACTGGAGGCACGTTCTTTTTGATTTTTTTTCCCCCTCAAGGTCCGGCGGACATCCCTAATAAACCCGTCTACGTCCATTTTGTTACCCTGCAACACGTAGCTTTGTTTTTATGTGGAATGTATATAGTATCTTGTTTCTGTACATCTCACAGGCTGAAGTATAGAATACTATGAGATCCTACTCCAGGTCATGGAAACTGAGTACTAACAGTCTATATGCCAACAATACCAAGACTGAACACCCAGAACTAAACCACTACGAACCCACCCCCGAAAAAACAGGCTGCTCCAACCAATACCGACAGCGCCGTTCATCGGCCGGATCCCTCACGATCGTCAGATTATGCATCCCAACATCCAACACGCGCTCCGCAGGCCCATATCGCGGGATGGCAGGTCCTAGTGTCGAGCGCGGCGTGCCCGATGCGACAAAACTCAAAATGTAGTCCTGCAATGCCTGCGCGGTCGTCGCGTTCAACGGCAACCCCCGAAGCCGCACCTGGGGGTGTTCGGGATTGTAGAAGATGGAGTCGAGGTCTTGACCGTGGAGGGCAGGGGGCACGCTGAAAGTGTATGCGTAGGAGCTGTTGCGGAAGGTCTGGGAGAGGTGCTTGTTCTGGCAGCGGATGAACATGTCGTCGATTGCGACGGACGTGCGCTGGAAGGGGGTGGTGTAGCCGTAGGAGCCGTTGTAGATGGGTGGGTAGAGTGTGGTGGCGGCGTATTGTAGGGCGGAGGGGGGGAGGGGGGGCAGCAATTGGTGGATGGCTGGTGTGAAGCCGGAGTCGGTTGCGCCGATGGGGTTGGTGAAGAGGAGTCCGTCTTGGGCGTTGGTTGTCGAGAGGATGGTGAGGTTGTGGGCAAAGTCGCCGCTGTCAAGCAGGTTTGCTGGCGCGGCTGGGACGAAGGAGCCGTCGACGACTGGCGCAAAGGGGTAACCGCCGTAGAGAGGCGTGGTCGCGATTTGGTAGGCATTGGCGGCGATGAGCTTCTGCGATGGCAGTCGGCGAGCTTCGGCGACGGTGTTGACATTAAGGCTGTCCAGAAATTGCTGCAGAGTTGCGTTTTGGGTGAGTGACGGTTCGGGATACCACGCGGTGCTTTGGACAATGGCTCGTTGGAAGTCGGGAGGCCCTCGCTTGCCACCGTAGGCGGTGATCTGGTGCACGATGGAGTTGCCTGCTGAGGACTCGCCCATGACCGTGACGCGAGACGGGTCGCCGCCGAATTGGGCGACGTGCTCGCGGACCCATCGCAAGGCCATCCGCTGGTCGTAGAGGGCTGCGTTGGCTGTGCCGTCCTCCTCGAGGCTTTTGCCTCCTAGGAAGCCGAAGGCGCCTAGCTGGTGATAGGGTTAACATCTGGACAAGACCCATTTTGGTAATATGGGCGGCTCACGCGGTGGTTCAGGGCTACAAAGACGATTCCGTCCCCTTCACGACCTTGGCTACGCTCAATCAGGCCGGTTGGGTTGTAATCAGTTTTGTCGCCGGAACTCCAGCCCCCGCCAGTAAAGTACACAATGACTGGGGCGGCGCCAGCCCCACGGTCGAAGACCCGTTTGGGAACTACAACATCCAAGAAGAGGCAATCCTCCGTCGTCCGGGGGTCGAGAGGGGCCGGTGTGTACGGGTACGACGAGATATTGGTGGATTGGTTGAACGGCTGGCCGGATAGGAGGCTCTGGAGGAACGGCATCTGGATCTTGGTCGACCACATTGGCCGAGCCTGAGGACATACACGGCCTTCTGCGCCCGTCTGCACCGTCGAGCGATTCGATTCTGGGGGCTCTGGGGCCCGAAAGCGTAGATCTCCGACCGGCGGTGCGGCATATCGAATGTTGCTAAAGTTGTAGAGACCTTGGGATTCCTGCATGGGGTCAGCGTGGAACGCTCGTCGTCGTCAACCCGGGTAGCCAGGCGGTACATTGAAAGATATTGCCTGATGCACTTCGTACCCCAAGTCGACGGTAGGCAGGCTTGCTGCATTGCCGCTTGAGATAAGAGGGAGAATAAAGAACGACAGCGCTATACGGATGGCACCCATTATGCTGTCCTCTGCTGTTGTATGTAACAGAACCAGATCGATCGCTGAAACACCCAGGAACTAACTGCTTTTTCCCAGATCGGTAGTAGTCCGTACTTTTCTCATTTTCTTTTATAAACTACAGGAGCTTCCAGAGCTTCTTTGACATGACACGTCACGTTGCGACCGACCGACCGGAGGCGCATATATCGGCAGCCAAGTGATCTCATTGGGGTTACCGCCAGCGGAGTCCAAGGATTTAAACACTCGCCACTGAAAAACTGGCTTTTCGGTAAAGCTTAATGGCTGATCAGCAAAGAGAGCTCTGGAAATCTGTTGTGTGCTGTACAGATGGGGTTTATTGCGAACTCAATGGACATCCGAATGCAACGTCGCTTTTATTGAACAATAATGACACAAACCACTCTGTTTGGACCCCTCTATGGATAAGTTTGGTTGCACATAAATTTTTACCGCGTAAGGGGCTTTGAAATTCCATTTGTCTCCCAGTGTCGAATTTTCTCACGCCGCTCCCCGCCCGGCCCTATTCGGACGCAATGACTGTCATGGATACAAACCCCATGAGTAGAGGGCTCATTGATCATCAACCTCGCGAATTTTGTAGGTTTCAATCATCTCATTCGACGGCACCAAATGCTCGTTTTGCAGTTTCGTAGCCGTGTCCACCCCGGCCGCGGGGACGCGGTATTCAAAGCGTTTGCCTAGCTGTGGGGTTTGGCCTCCAGGCAAGGGATAGGGATATGGCAGGTAGTCCGGCATAAGACCGAGCTGCACAAGCACTGTGGCTTGGTCCCATGCAATGTGTTCATGGTACAGCCGGTCTCCGCGAATGTTCACCACAGAGGTAAACGGAATCCGAAGGGGCTTTCCCGTGGGCGGGATACCCGGAATGCTATTGATCCATTAGAACATTCCCTCTCACACCTGAAACAGGGAGAGAACTCACAGCCAGTCAACTTGCTTGTTGTGGGTGAGGCAGAAGATGAACTCGTCCACCACGCGATCCACCCCAACCGTCCGGCTGATCAGCTCCAGCGCCGTGTCGTCCGGGTTATTGAAAATGAAATGGTTCAGGTAGAATTTACTCAGACGGTCGCGACCGACTCCGCCGGTCAACTATGAACTGGTTACTTCCCCACATCAATGTGCAGCGCGAGGAGGCTTACGGTCGGCACATGGTTGACGTAAGGCTCCTGGACCATAGTCGCCATGGTCTTCTCTACAGATCGATCGCCAAACTCATAGAACGTGTGCTCATCCCAGATTTTTTCCAGGTCAAAGTAAGGTCCGTCCATGTGTTTTTTGAGAAACGTCAGAGAGCGCGAATGTGCGACTCCTGCAGTGGAGATTTTGAAATCGGTATGTCCAGGCACGATGAATCCGGCGGACGAGGCCTCCGGGTATGAGTAGACGGTACCATGAGCAGGCCGTTGGTCAGCAGCACCCTCTTTAGGGATATGGAAGAGAGCAGGGAGATTCGAAGGCGTGTCCCAGATGCCCAAAAACACCACCGCAGCCAGTTGCGTACTGGCCCCCGTGATGGTCCGAAGTGCTGCCTCAAACCCAGGCGCATAATCGGATGGAGAACCATAGACTAGGGCACCATCAGTTCCGGGTTCTTGAACTTGATCGGCGTCTCACATACCCAGAAGTCCATAGTAGTTCTTATGATCGCACTGTGGCAGCGAGAAAAGGGCCTGTGCTGCCCTGTCGATACGATCTTGGACCTGGGCCGGTTCACGGCTTGTTTCCGCATCCAGCGTAACCTGGGCTACTACATAACTCTCCTCTGCCCATTTCTGGATGGGTTCTGGATCTAGGGTCTCGTTCTTCTGTTGACATCCCACAAGATTATCCGGACGTATCATGACCAGACCGGGACCCTGTCCGCAGCGCGACAACGGAGGCTGCAAAAGAATGCCATGTCCCAAATCCACCACCGGTGCAGAAGGAAGGATAGGAGGGTAGGAGGTCATTGTGATGTGGTGCTGTAGATGAGATTGGAGAGTACGGATAAATGGTTCAAGCCGTTATTGCGGGGAGGATTGGGTGCCTCGGCAGGGGCATATATCACGTGATTGACAGCATTGTCTTTCACGTCTTCCTGCTGTCATATGCACAGTATTGGGAACTGAAATGAATAGAATTTCTACATTAGTGCAAGACATTCCCACTAGACAAAAGCCTCTATTCGCACTATAATTCTCGTGGTGAACGGCATGCGTCTCCAAGCAAGAGAGTGAAGTATACAGCAAAGCCATCATTGGCCAGCAAGTCATAACACACGTGACCCGGTCTTGGCGGGCGGACGGATTCCGACAGCTGCGTTGGGAGCTCCATCGCGACATCATCTCTCTCCCCACCGTTGACCATCCCAACCATGGACGCGCAGTTTCAGTCCACCCTCTCGAACCTAGAAAACAAGCTCAATGCCCTCATCAGTAGTCTGACGACCTCCCCCACCGCGGCAGGCGCACCGGCTGCCGCGCTCAACCTCCTCGAAGCCGACGACTCGTTAACCTCAGACATCGAGATTCTGCGACAACACCAGCAAAATTATGCAAGAATCTTAAAGCTCCGTGAGGAGTCAGCAAGCTTAGAGGAGAAAGTGAAAGACATTGTGCGGGAGGTAGTGCGGTACGAGAAGGACATTCAGACCGCCTGCGGAGGCGACGCCTACGACGACTCGGACGACAGCTCCGACGATGAAGATGACATGAGTGGCGCGCCGGGGAAGCCCGTCCGCGGCCGTACTATGCGAGAAATCGATTACAAGCTCTTGCTAGATTTTGCGCGACGAATCAGCAAATACAATCACCAGGCAGCGGCGGACGCAGCGGCCGGGGCCCCAGCCAAACCGCGGCCGCAGATCCAACAAGCGCAGGAACCCGCCGACACGGAGATGACAGGGATGAACAGCCACGGTGGGGCAGGGACCACGACAGAAGAGGGAGTCGCGCCGGT